CACTTCCTTGCTATTAGTATTAGTATTTAATCAACAAGGCATAAGTTCAGTCTACTTTTTCAACTTAAATTACGTTACAAGAAAGAAGTATTAGAGATCCGATCCGAAACAAATTTAAGAATAAAGTTCTACGAGAAATAAATTAAAATTGCTTACTTGAATTCCTTCCCACAACTTCCTAAGGATGCTATGCGTCATGTTTAATTCGACAAGGAARTCCGGGTTAGTAATACAACTCAAACATGTCATGGGCGCATGGGGCCAATCTAGTAACTGAAGTTTTGGAGATATATACTTGAGACGTCTCCGAAAAGCCAATATTTGTAAATTCTTAAAATTGCTTCTGGAGATTAGGCATTGCTTCAAAGGCTCTATTACTTATATAAAACTCATCCTGCTCACATGCAGGTATGCACACCTCATCCGGCCCGCTCATGAAGATATGCCTATAACACTTCTGCCACTCTGAATAAAAAAAGACCGCAAAAACTTAAGTAGAGATGATAAAAGGGTACAAATGCACAGTGCAACGAAAGAGTAGTGGCAAATTACACTTATGGCTGCAGGAGTACTCCTGAGAACTTGACAAATATCTTCTTCATCAACCAAAAACTGTCGTTTCCAAGGATCCAGAGATTCTTTACAGACAATTTCTTTACCCAGTTGGGCTAGCAAACTATGCATCTCTATACTTGATATCCAATCAGTAGACATAAGAGATTTCTCAACTAAAACTTGAAGTCTTTGTCTCACATCCACGAACTTCTTTGCAAGATGCTCTTCCACTTTCTCAACCAATTCATGGTTAAAAAAGCAGGCTATATGAAGAAATAAATCTTTATCTTCATCACATAAAGCATGATAACTGAACTTCAAAATGCCTCAATTTCTCCGTTAAGGCGATTCCTTAATTTTGGTAGAGCCTTTGTCCACTCATCCTTGGACATTCCTCGGAAGTAGGAGCCCATAAACCTTAGTCCCAAAGGGAGTTTACCCGAAAGTTCTATAACTTCTCGAGCAAGCTCCTCAAAACCATCACATGGGAACTTTTGACCAAAAGCATGCATGCAAAACATTTGAAGGGCCTCTTCATCATTTGGATAATCCACTTTGTAAATATGGTTGATCCCATGTGCGTTTAATATTCTTTGATCTTCTGTTGTGATGATAATCCGACTTCCAGGACCAAACCACCGATTTTCTCCGGCCAATGCATCTAGTTGTGCTAACTGATCCACATCATCAAGAACGAGAAGCACTTTCTTGTCTTTCAACCTTTCTTGGGCGACTCCTAAATGAGTGATCATGGTATCTTTGTGGTTGATCAACTGAGACAGCATTTGTTTCTGTAGTTGCAGTTGTGCTCTGCCCTCATCGAGACAAGGACTTGGATAGCTTCCTTTGATATCCACCATGATTGCCCTAAATTGGAAACTGTCGGAGAGTTGGTTAAATAGAAATCTAGCAATGGTGCTCT